TTAGTTACACATAATTATAGTGAACAATATAAAAGTAAAAATTCATTCTAGACATAATTAACTTAACAGATTAAAGAAATTAAAGTGAGTGTTTAAATAAGAACCTGAAGGCATAAATAATTAAGAACATAGAAGAGCTGGAACAGAAAAGATTGAAGTCCTCTGATTAAGCTGGAACTGATATCTCCAAATGAACTTTACTGTTGAAATATATAGAACTGAAATTCTGGAATGGAAATTACAAACTGAATTTTTTACAGAAAGTGTTCTTGAAGAATCACTTTTATTATATGAATACTAATATAAACTGAACTAAAGAAAGAAGGAGATTTCTCTCCGAATTTGGTGTGTTTTCGCAGCTCCCAAATGGCTCTTTATATAGGCAACTTCAGAATAGCTTGGAGCACAAAAGTCATATGATGAAGATGGTGATGGAATTGAGTTCCTATTGAAGAATAGTGCTCTAGAATCATTTTTCTTCTTCGGCGGCGCCTGGAATGAACTTTGATTGAGCTTTTGGTTTGTTGCTGAATGGTGAAGATGATACATGTGTAGAGCTTCAATTGTGTGGAAGAAACTAAAGCCATCACTATTGAATGGGTCCCTCTCATAATGCAATGTATTTATTTCTTTTCATTCTTGGGAGCTTCCTACGTATGGAGTTTCACTCATAATAAAGAGTGAATAGTACCTGTCAGCCAAAGTTTTGGCTTGTAACCGCCACTTGCATTATTTGGCCGGTTAATTGTTTGATCAGTTAACTGGTCAGCAATTAACCAGTACATTTTATTGCGGACAGTCTGACTTATTCTAAAATGTATTTCGGGACTCTTGATAAAATATTCCGGAGTTAAAGTAAGAATCCGCTTCACTTTGATGATTTTTCCGTCTTCATTCGGGAGTAATATTTATTTCTTTTTCAGAAATTAATATACATCCCAAATTATCCTGAAACTCGAAAATATACCAAAACAAGTGCAATACCTTAAAATGTCCAAGATGATAAAAATCAATCTTTTTTATTTAAAAATGAGAAATAAAGTATTAAAAGTGTGACAAAACAAGATCGTAAATATGGTAAATTATGAGTACATCAACTCCCCCATACTTAAGATTTTGCTTGTCCTCAAGCAAAAATATTTACATTCACACAAACAAGCAAGCAAGCAAAAATGAATTGCCAAATCATATGTGTAATCCTCAAATCAAACACACTTTCTTTCACTCCACCTGATCAATCAGAAATCCCTTGACTTATCACAAAATAAGAGTAGTGAGAATCACAAAAATATTTTGCATATCATTCGAAACGTTTTGGTCAAATCTCAACTCTAACAAACACAAAGTGTGTGGTGTGAAAATGGAATCTAGCTTCATTTGTTCAACCATGCAAAATTATGCAAAATAAGATTTTCCTATCAACTTATTTCAGACAAAACACAATTAGGATCAATTAGGACTTTCACACAGGGTTATAATGGGGTCTGTGGGATAGGCTTATGAACAAAGGGAATTAATGAGGAAACAAAAGAAATGAACTTGACATAAATTTAACAAATTTAGAGAGGCACTAAGTAGTGAGTAGGAGCTTTTGACAATAATCTACACAACACTTGTTATTTTTAACAGTTAGGGGTAGTAACCAGTAAAAAGGGTAAATTAATATACAAGAAAAATATACAAAAGAGAGAAGCATGTACATGGATATTAAGCCTTGTTTAGATTTTTTTTTTCATTTTCTTTTTTTTTTCTGTTTTTTTTTTGTTTTTGTTTTTTTTGTTGTTTTTTTTTCAAGGCTTTTAAATGCTTCTAACACTAAGAACTTACAAGAATAATATGTACAATGATGCTACAACAAGAACAACTACCCCTATAAATGAATATTAACAACTAAGTAATCACAAAAGTGTAATTATTAAAGCTCCCTAAATGTGAATGACACTCTCTAAGCTCATTAAAATTTATGCAAGTCATTCTAGGGTGGTTGGAAAGTGTTTGGCTTTTAGGCTAAGGGTCACATATAACAGGTTTTTATGAAAGAAAATAAGAAAAACAGGGTTAAGCGTATAACGCTTATTTAAAAAAAAGGCTCAAAGGGGTAAACAAGGGATATTAATCACATGGGTAAGGCTAGGTATATGGGTTTATGAAAAATGGCCTATATCATTTCCCAATGTGCTAAGTTAGAAAATCATGTCAAGGAAAATAAAAGCACATAGTACTCCTATTTTGCAAAATCTTAAACATGTTGAACAATTCACTAGCTAACCATTTACGTACGTGCATGAGATGTTTTGTGTTTGTAAAAAGTTTAAAATTTTGACCAAAATTTTAATCAACGCTCAAAATTATGATTCTCAATCCAATTATTAAGAGACAAGTCCCGCCAACAATCCACATACCATGTGAAAAAATAGAATGCATGATTTGAAAATTATACAGATGATAAGGCAATTCACAAACAAACAAACATGCATATTCTCCCCCCACACTTAGGATGAAACATCGTCCTCGATGTGACAAATATATACAGGGCGGGTAAGTAAATGGGTGGGAAAATAAAATTATTCAATGTAAACACACAAGCAAAACACACATTCAAATGCAAGTAAATAAGCTTGGGTTGCCTCCCAAGAAGAGCTATTTTTAACGTCGTGTGCCCGACATTACCTGAATGGTTTACTCGTAAGGAGGATCGTCCAGATGAACAGTGAGTTTCTCCTTTGTGTCATCTCGTTCATGGTATTGCTTAACTCTTTGGCCATTGACAGTAAATTGCCTCCCATCATTGGCCTCCAGAATGATTGTCCCGGATGGATAGGCTTTGATAACTTTGAAAGGTCCAGACCATTTTGATTTCAGCTTTCCTGGAAAGAGTTTCAGCCTTGAGTTGAATAGTAGCACACTATCCCCAGGAGAAATGTCTCTCCTAAGGATTCTTCCATCATGACATTTCTTTGCCCTTTCCTTGTAAAGTTGGGCATTCTCAAAGGCATCAAGTCTGAATTCTTCAAGTTCATTCAATTGTAATAAGTAATAACCTCTTTTTCCCTGCCAGAGTGTAGTCAAGGTTTAGGCTTTGGATAGCCCAAAATGCTTTGTGTTCAATCTCCACTGGTAAGTGACAAGACTTCCCATACACCAATTTGAATGGTGATGTCCCAATGGGAGTCTTATATGCAGTACGATAGGCCCATAAAGCATCATCTAGTCGGAGGGACCGATCTTTCCTTGTGGGATTGACAACTTTCTCTAGAACTGATTTAATTTCCTTGTTTGAGAGTTCAACCTGGTCACTAGTTTGTGCATGGTACGGAGTAGACACTTTGTGATTAACACCATACTTGAGCAAAAGTTTCTCAAGTTGCTTATTACAGAAGTGTGTACCATTATCTGTGATGAAGGCCTTGGGAACTCCGAACCTTGAGAAAATAAATTTCTTCACAAATCGGATCACAACCTTGGAATCATTTGTTGGACTAGCAATCGCTTCAATCCATTTCGAGACATAGTCCACAGCCACAAGAATGTAAGAATTTCCACATGAGCTAGGAAATGGTCCCATAAAGTCCATTCCCCATACATCGAAGAGTTCAACTTCAAGTATTCCGGATTGTGGCATTTCATTTCGACGTCCAATAGATTCTGTGTGTTGGCATCGATCACATCTTTTCACGTACATTTGAGAATCTTTGAACAATGTAAGCCAATAGAAACCTGACTGTAGGACTTTAGCTGAAGTCCTTGTGGATCCGAAATGACCACCATATGGTGATGAATGACAATGATAAAGGATAGCCTCAAACTCATCTCCTGGGATGCATCTTTGAACAATTCCATCAGCACATCTCTTGAACAATAGTGGTTCATCCCAAAAATAAGAGCGAGCATCATGCAAGAACTTTTTCTTTTGGGACCACGAGAATTCAAAAGGAATATAGCCACTGACAAGGTAATTAACCCAATCAGCATACCAAGGAGAAAAGTGCTTGATAGAGAGCAAATATTCTCCCGTAAATGAATCATCAATGGGTAATACTTTGGTCACTTCATTTTCTGCATGTGGCTCATTTTCTGCATGTGGCTCAATTCTGGACAGGTGATCAGCGATGACATTTTTAGATCCCTTTTTGTCAAGGATCTCGATGTCAAACACTTGTAGTAGCAACACCCATCTAATAAGTCGTGGTTTGGCCTCCTTCTTTGCAAACAAGTACTTTAGAGCTGAGTGATCAGTGTAAACTATCACCTTGCTTCCAACAAGATATGACCTGAACTTCACTATGGCAAAGACAACTGCGAGTAGTTCTTTTTCTGTTGTGGCATAGTTTTGTTGGGCATCATCGAGAGTATGCCTTGCATAATAAATTGCATGTATGCAACGACCTTGTTTCTGTCCCAACATGGCTCCTACAACATAGTCACTAGCATCGCACATTAAGATGAAAGGCATGCTCCAATCTGGTGGTTGAATGACAGGTGCAGAACATAATGCTTTCTTAATTTTGCAAAAGGAATTAAGACAAACATCGTCAAAGATAAAGTCAATCTCTTTGGACAGGAGTCTTGTGAGTGGTTTTGCAATATTAGCAAAATCCTTGATGAATCGCCGATAGAATCCGGCGTGCCCTAGAAAACTTCGGATGCCTTTAACAGATGTTGGCGGCGTTAACTTCTCAATCACTTCGATCTTTGCTGGATCTACCTCAATGCCTTTGGATGAAATCTTATGCCCAAGAACAATTCCTTCTGTTACCATGAAATGACACTTCTCCCAGTTGAGGACAAGATTTGCCTCTTGGCAATGAGTCAATTCTTTATCAAGATTATCCAAGCACAAATCAAATGAGGTCCCATAAACAGAGAAATCATCCATGAATACCTCCATGATTTCTTCAATAAGATCTGAGAATATGGCCATCATACACCATTGGAAAGTTTCGGGTGCATTACATAGGCCAAATGACATTCTTCGAAAAGCAAATGTACCATAGGCACATGTGAAGGTAGTCTTTTCTTGATCATCTGGATGGATCATGATTTGAAAATATCCTGAGAATCCATCTAGAAAGCAATAATGGCTATGGTTTGCCATCCTTTCAAGCAACTGATCAATGAAAGGTAAAGGATAATGATCCTTATTTGTGACTTTGTTCAACTTCTTGTAATCGATGCACATTCTCCATCCCGTGACCAAACGAGTAGGAATGAGCTCATTGTGCTCATTTGGAACAACTGTGAAACCTCCTTTCTTTGGTACAACATGGATTGGACTTACCCATCTGCTGTCCGAGATAGGGTAAATGATTCCGGCATCAAGAAGTTTGATGACTTCTTTCTTCACAACATCCTTCATGTTAGAGTTGAGCCTCCTTTGATGTTCAACAACTGGTTTACATCCTTCCTCAAGATAAATTTTGTGCACACAATAGTTAGCACTGATGCCAATTAGATCATCAATGGAGTATCCAATGATCCGTTTGTGTTTTCTCAGCAGGGTCAACAACTTGTCTACTTCCTCCTCGTTCAACTTAGTGCTAATTATCACTGGGTAAGTAGAGTTTTCACCAAGTTAAGCATATCTTAGGTGTGATGGTAAAGGCTTCAACTCAACTTTGGGTGATTCTTTTGTGCTATTAGTGTCACGCCCCGGACCTACCGGACACGTCAACAACCCGCCGTACAGTACGAATAGTCAACCGCAGTCCAACTCATCCATACTATACTAGGCGTCTTGAATACCATTCACACATAGTACATCCATAACAATCATAACGTAAAATATTTAGTTAAGCAGCGGAAACATAATTACAAATATTCAAACCACACGTGGCAACCACTGGCATACAAGCCCCCAAATAAATATTCGAAATAATATCCATGAGCATTATTTAAATTGTTTTCAAAACGGAAACAGAAGAAGCACGAACCACGCCTTCCTCCTTGAATTCCCCGAAGCAACGAGCGGTAGTAGCAAGCTCTACTCCCTACCTGAAACTGTGAGGTGGCCTCCCCCGTGAAGGGGAGGTCAGTACTTGGAAGCATTTGACAAGTACAATGACAACTATACTAAGTATAATCAAAGTTTCAATTTCCAAGACCCTCAACCCAAGATGTTACTCATTTATAATTAACTCATGTTCTCCATGCTAGAGCTCGGCTCGTAGTCATATCAATTTGTGCTAGAGCTCGGCTCATAGTCACCCTACTTTTGCTAGAGCTCGGCTCATAGTCATACTAATTTGTGCTAGAGCTCGGCTCATAGTCACCCTACGTTTGCTAGAGCTCGGCTCATAGTCATACTAATTTGTGCTAGAGCTCGGCTCATAGTCACCCTACGTTTGCTAGAGCTCGGCTCATAGTCATACTACCACGTGCTAGAGCTCGGCTCATAGTCACGTCACTAATCCCTAAACCACTTCTTAGTCTAGGTTCCATCCATTTCGAGTAACCCTTAAGGCTTACTCCAAAAGTAACTTGAGTTCACAAAGTCCACCTTAAACATATCTTTTAAGGTTACTCAACTCCAAAGTCTTGGGATTGGCTCCCAAAAACTATTGAACTAACATTCCCGACTAGTATCCTATACTAGTCATTTAATCTTAATAACCCAATGCATATTCATAATAATTTGAATATTTCAATTTAATTCCACATTCAAGTATAACTTGGCTTTAATATCAAAATATCACTTTTATCCTTCCATGGCTTCCTTACATGAGGTAAAAGTATATTTATCACAATTTAATTTATAGTTTACACAACTACTATACCATTGTATTCATAACACATAATCATACACAATTTATTCATAAATTTGTATATCATGCATTTTATTTGCTTATAAACAATAATAATCTCATTTAGGCATTTTTTATTAAAAATAAATCATGCCAAACACATATAATTCATTTAGGTAATCTTATGAAATTAACCCAATAATTATAAGCAATATAGTCGGTCATCCTCACCTTAAGTGAGCTTAAGCGTGTTCTACGCTCCGCGGTTGAACTTTGACTAATTCCGGTGAACTTTGACCAACTCCGGCCAACTTTGACCAACTCCGGCGAAACTCCGGCGAAGCTCAAAGATACTTTATATCAAGTTCCTAACAAGGTTTTAACATCATAAAACCTTAATCAATACCCATAACCCTTAAAAGGTCATTTTCCGGGGAACTTGTCGGTTTGGCTTCTAAATCCGTTCTTGGACTTAGAACCACTCTCCCACCCATTATTCTACACTTAAATCATGTAGAACAACTCTCAAGGTTCTTCATATGATATATATCTCATATGATAGAGGAAAAATAAAGGAAAGTTTTGATAAGGTTATTACCTTAATCCTTTCACACTTTTAGCACTTTAGCTCCTTTTCTTGGTATTCTTTCTTGTAAAGCTCTCTTCAACAATGGAGGAGAATGATGGAGGATTCTTTGCTCTTGCTTGGAGGGTGCTGGCCGCAGGAAGTGAGGGAGAGAGTGGGTGAGGGTTGGTTTTTGTCTCTTTGATCCAATGAGTAAGGATGGGGGCCATCTAATGTACCTTTGATGCCCATCTATTCAACCCCAACACCTCCCACCTCCTCCTTTCCAATCCAGCCGCCCACCACTTGGTTTTGTATGGCCAAATTCGTGGGTTGGCCCCCACTCATGTGGGAGGTCAACCCTTTTTGTCCAGAAGTGTACAATTGGCCCCGAAAGTTGTATTTTTCGGACTGTTTTAAATATATTTTATTTTATCGGGTCAAATAAAATATATTATGTGTTCTTAATCATTATAACCTTTATAATGAATATACATTCCCAAACTTTAATTTATAAGTCCCCGAAATTCAATTTCGGGCTTTTATCGGTTAAATTGTCAATACCGATATTTGGGCTTCTTTTGACCGATCGGTCAACTCTGGACCTTTCCATGGTCCGAATGAAATAGCCACCACTATATAAATATTATCTTGACCAAGATAAATAAAATATATGGTTTCGGGGATTTCGGGCGGCCCCGCTCCCGGTGTGGGTCCCACGTGCGAATTTATTATTCACGCAAAAGAAGTATTAAAAATTCACCACTTCGTATTTTCATTAACCATTCCATGAGGTTCAATACATTATACTCTTAAAAGTAAATACATTTGGGGACGGTGTTACAAGTTCACCCCCCCTTATTTGGGATTTCGTCCCCGAAATCTACGTGTCTAATCGAAAAGAAACGGGTATTGCTCCCTCATTGAGACCTCAGTCTCCCAGGTTTCTTCTTCGACTCGATCACTCCTCCAAAGAACCTTTACCATAGGAATCTCTTTGTTCCTCAGTTTCTTCACCTGTTGACCCACAATCTTTACCGGTTCCACCGCATATTGCAGATCTTCACGTATCTCCACCGGTGGCTTCTCAAGAATATGAGACGGATCTCTCACGTATTTCTTGAGCATCGATACATGAAACACGTCGTGTATCTTCTCAAGTTCTGGCGTCAACTTGAGACGGTATGCTACGGCCCCTATCCTTTCAAGGATTTCAAATGGACCAATGTATCGGGGGTTAAGCTTTCCCCTCGATATAAATCGGATGATACCCTTCCAAGGAGAAATCCTTAGGAAGACCTTATCACCGACCTCGAACTCCAATGGCCTGCGTCGTTTGTCGGCATAACTCTTCTGCCGATCTTGGGCAGCCCTGAGTCTATCCTGAATGACCTTCACCTTAGCCTTGGTGATTTCAACAAGTTCAATCCCTTCGAGCTTGGCCTCGCCAACCTCGTCCCAACACAACGGTGTTCTGCATTTCCTCCCATACAATGCCTCGTATGGAGGCATGCCAATACTTGCCTGATAACTGTTGTTATAGGCAAACTCGACTAGAGCCAAATGTTTGTCCCAACTCCCTTGGAACTCCAGAGCACATGCCCTAAGCATGTCCTCCAATATCTGTATCACCCTCTCAGATTGTCCATCCGTCTGTGGATGAAAAGCTGTGCTAAACTTCAGTTTAGTACCCAAAGATGCTTGAAACTTGGGCCAAAACCGAGATGTGAATCGTGGATCCCTATCCGAGACAATGGATATCGGGACTCCATGTAATCTCACAATCTCTTCCGTGTATAACTTTGCCAATCTTTCAAGAGGATGAGTAATGTTGATAGGCAAAAAGTGTGCACTCTTAGTGAGCCTATCAACCACTACCCATACTGCATCGTAGTTGTTCACTGTTCGTGGTAGCCCCACCACGAAGTCCATGGTAACATGCTCCCACTTCCATTCTGGAATGGTCAGTGGCTGCAAAAGCCCCGCCGGGTGCTGATGCTCTGCCTTAACTTGTTGGCAAGTAAGGCATCGACTCACGTACTCTGCGATGTCTCTCTTCATACCCGACCACCAGTAACTTTCCTTCAAGTCTCGGTACATTTTGGTACCCCCCTGGATGCATAGCATATGCCGAAGAATGAGCCTCCTCTAGTATGGACTTTTGGAGCTCCTCACTCTTTGGTATGCATACACGGTCTTTAAACAGTAAAAGACCGTCATCACGTACCCGAAAGTTCTCCACGGGCCCTTCAAGGATCCTTTCGCGGATCTTCTGGCATTCTTCATCAGTGGCCTGACATCTACTGATCTCACTCAACAATGTAGGCCTAACTTCGAATCTAGCAATGAGGACCCCACTCGTGGACACCTCCACTTGTGCCCTCAAAGTTCGTAGACATGTGAGTAGTGTCCCCGACGTACTCTTCCTGCTCAGCGCATCGGCCACTACATTGGCCTTTCCGGGATGATAGTCGATGATCAAGTCATAGTCCTTGATCAACTCCATCCATCTCCTCTGCCTCATATTCAACTCCTTCTGAGTGAATACATACTTCAGACTCTTATGATCGGTAAAAATGTGACATGTCTCCCCATAGAGGTAATGTCTCCAAATCTTTAGTGCAAACACTACCGCCCCCAACTCTAGATCGTGGGTAGGGTAGTTCGCCTCGTGTTTCTTCAATTGCCTAGAAGCATAGGCAATCACCCGACCGTTTTGCATTAGTACACATCCAAGCCCTTGGATGCTAGCATCACTGTATATGTCATACCCTATCCCTTGTGTGGGTAGAGCGAGAACAGGTGCTTCCGTAAGCCGTTTCTTTAGTTCGAGAAAGCCTTTCTCACAATTGTCGTCCCATATGAACTTGGCCCCTTTCTTCGTGAGCTTTGTCAATGGAGACGCCAATACGGAGAATTTTTCAACAAACTTTCGATAGTATCCCGCTAAGCCAAGGAAACTACGTATCTCTTTCACATTTTTGGGTCTCTCCCAATTCATAATGGCTTCTATCTTGGCTTTATCCACCGAAATGCCCGAACTTGACATGACATGCCCGAGAAACCCAATCTCTTTGAGCCAAAACTCGCATTTAGAGAACTTGGCAAAGAGTTGTTTTTCCCTTAGCCGTTCAAGTACAAGACTCAAATGATCTTCATGCTCCTCTTCACTTTTGGAGTATATCAAAATGTCGTCAATGAACACTATCACAAATTGATCTAAGTATTCACTAAACACACGGTTCATCATGTCCATGAATGCCGCCGGTGCGTTGGTTAGACCAAATGACATCACCAAAAACTCGTAGTGACCATATCTAGTGCGAAATGCACTCTTAGGTATGTCACTCTCCTTTATCTTCAACTGATGATACCCCGACCTTAAATCAATCTTCGAGAATACTGTTGCCCCTCGAAGTTGATCGAACAAGTCATCAATCCTCGGTAAAGGATACCTGTTCTTGATCGTGACCTTGTTCAACTGTCGGTAGTCTATACACATTCTTAGTGTACCATCTTTCTTCTTTACGAAGAGTACGGGTGCTCCCCACGGTGAATGACTGGGTCTAATGAACCCGTTGTCCAATAGCTCCTGAAGTTGAACCTTCAATTCTTGAAGCTCGGCCGGTGCCATTCGATAAGGAGGAATCGAAATGGGTTTGGTTCCCGGCTCCACTTCAATTACGAATTCGATCTCCCTGTCGGGTGGAAGCCCCGGCAAGTCTTTGGGAAAGACATCCGGATATTTGCACACGACACGTACATCGTTGATGTCAACCTACTTCTTTGCTTCATCCACCACGTAAGCAAGGTATGCGTGGCATCCCTTCTTTATCATCTTCCGTGCCCTCATCACGGATATTATGCAACTATGAGATCCTCCCCGATCTCCCTCGAAACGTAGAGTGTTTCCCTCAGCATCCTCGAGTTCCAAAACCTTGGCATAACAATCCACTCGAGCATGATGTTTCTCGAGCCAATCCATCCCTAGAATTGCATCGAATTCTAACATACTTAGAGGTACGAAGTCACAAGTCAAAGGTTGACCCGTCACTTCTACCTCACACGAAGGATAGTAGTGTTTCCTCTCCACATCGTCTCCCAACGGTGTAGAGACCAACAGGGGTTGTGTCATTACTATCATCGGCACGTCTAAACTTTCGGCAAACGCTTCACTCACGAATGAACGTTGTGCCCCGGTATCAATGAGAATTCTTGCGTTTCTACCGTTGATCTTTAATGTTCCTACATTCATAAGTCATGTGAGACACACTAGGCAACGTACCGGATCGAAACGGGGCTTAACGAAAATTTTTCGGGTGACAATACACTGGACCGGCGCCGGTTCTAGGCAAGACCGGCGCCGGTTTGCCTTCGGGGTGGCCGGATTCACGCAAAATAAACTGGACCGGCGCCGGTTATGGCCAAAACCGGCGCCGGTTTACCATCGGCAACTTCAGAAAAATGTTTTTCTTCAAAAACCGGCCCCGGTTACGAGCACGGTGATTCTTCCGACCACTTTTTCCCCTAGACCGGCGCCGGTTATGGCCAAAACCGGCGCCGGTTTTGCTACGGCGTCTCCCGGAACTCAAGTTTTAATTGGCCTGAGTCACCCCGACCCTTGACCGGCGCCGGTTATGGGTCAAAACCGGCGCCGGTTTACCCACGGCGACCCCGAAACAGCCATTTTTAATTAGAACCGGCGCCGGTTTGAGCCTTGACCGGCGCCGGTTTACCCCTGGGCAGCTTATTTTTGCAACTTTTTGCCAAGAAACCGACCGGTATCGGCCCCGGCGGGCCTGTACAAATCCGCTATCATTTTTAGCACTCGATACATGTAATTTATCAAACGTTACAAAGGATTACCTGCAACAGAGTCGGGATTAGCCCGAGCGTCGGCCTCGGTCATCGCATAGACCCGTGCTTGAGACCTCCCCTGATTCACGGACGGCACGTTGCTCGTGCTCGCTCCCCCTTGCCCCGTACTAGCATGAGGTGCCCCGGTTCGGCTCCTACTCGCCGTGGTGGCGCCGCTTGATCCCGCCCCTCGGTTCCCACCAAGTTGAGGGCAATTTGGTTTAATATGCCCTGTGCTCCCGCATTGGAAGCACCGTGGTGGATCACGACACTTACCGGCGTGGCTCCTGTTGCAATTCCTGCACCTGGGCGTCGTTGAGGCTTGGGAGCCCGAGTTGTGCCCGCTGAAGGCCGGGTTCCCCTTGGATGGCGGTGCCGGTGCTCTGAACGATCCACCTCCCCCATGGTTCCCCTTTTTGTTAGAACCTTGGGGGCCATGGTTCTCCCACTTCCTCTTCTTCGCCTCATCGGCGTCTCTCTTCTTTCTCTCTTCCCATTGCTTCTCTCCTTTCAACCCTTGGGCAACCACTTGGCTGAAAGTCATGTTGGGCAATTGAGTCGCCCTATCACGTATCTCCAAGTCCAAGGCCTCCCAAAAGTGATTCACCATTCGGTTTTCATCACAAGCATACTCCGGTATGTGGTCGGCAAGGTCCCTGAACTTGTGCTCAAGTTCTTTCACCGTCATGTTACCCCCTTGGGTTAGAAGAGTGTATTCTCTCACCTTGGCATTTACCTCAAAGTCAGAGTAGTATTGGGCAAAGAATTCTTGCCGAAAATCCTCCCAAGTAACATTCCCTCCATACTTGCCCTTGGTTCCATCCCACCACTTGGATGCCAACCCTTCAAGTAACCTCACCGCGATTCTCAGTTTGAAATCGGGGGTGAGTTGCATGTCCAGGGCTGCCTCGTTCAGCCTCTTGATCCATTGCGCGGCCACCGAGATGTCCCCCGTCCCATCGAACGGTTTGCACCCCAAGTCCCTCGCCTCTTTGATGTATTTGGAGATCCTTATGGTTGGACCTCCATCACCTCGACTCCCATGCGCTTCCACATGGGTTCTTGAATTACAATAGCTCCTTCCTCTTGGAGCCCCACCCGAAGGTTGCCCTGCACGGCGCCTTCGGCGTTCCCTCCTTTCCTCGCGCTCCCGATGATATTGTTGGAGCAGCGCTTCGATCCGAGCCAAGGAGCCACTTTCCTCCTCGTCGCTCACATCATCATCATCCCCTTCATAAGGGGTCTCAACCGGCTCAGTTTCCGGCCGGTAGGTTGAGTCCTCATAAGACCAATAGGTCTCACTCTCCGTGTCGACGTGGCCATCGCTCACGGTTTGACGTTGGCCTCCACGGCCCCTTCCTCTTGATCCCCTAGTGGACCCCCGGCTACCGCGCTCGGATCCATCCGGTACACGGCCCGTCGGGTTCCTCCTAGTGACCCTTCCGGTTGGCTCCATTTCTGAAAGGAAGTAGAATGAGTCATTAGACTCGTATCAATGTCAAGTGACGGATAGGTACTTAAAGACATCCTTTGGCTCAAATCACCGCCATACCAATTGTTAAGGGTACCATCTTAACAATTAGAGACTTTGCAACTCAAGTATCAAAAGTTCTATAAGTACAAAAACTTTTATGCTCATGGTTTTCAAATTCATTTTTGAAAAGAGATTTTTGAAGCTTCATTATGAAGTTTACGGACCTGGCTCTGATACCAATTAAATTGTCACGCCCCGGACCTACCGGACACGTCAACAACCCGCCGTACAGTACGAATAGTCAACCGCAGTCCAACTCATCCATACTATACTAGGCGTCTTGAATACCATTCACACATAGTACATCCATAACAATCATAACGTAAAATATTTAGTTAAGCAGCGGAAACATAATTACAAATATTCAAACCACACGTGGCAACCACTGGCATACAAGCCCCCAAATAAATATTCGAAATAATATCCATGAGCATTATTTAAATTGTTTTCAAAACGGAAACAGAAGAAGCACGAACCACGCCTTCCTCCTTGAATTCCCCGAAGCAACGAGCGGTAGTAGCAAGCTCTACTCCCTACCTGAAACTGTGAGGTGGCCTCCCTCGTGAAGGGGAGGTCAGTACTTGGAAGCATTTGACAAGTACAATGACAACTATACTAAGTATAATCAAAGTTTCAATTTCCAAGACCCTCAACCCAAGATGTTACTCATTTATAATTAACTCATGTTCTCCATGCTAGAGCTCGGCTCGTAGTCATATCAATTTGTGCTAGAGCTCGGCTCATAGTCACCCTACTTTTGCTAGAGCTCGGCTCATAGTCATACTAATTTGTGCTAGAGCTCGGCTCATAGTCACCCTACGTTTGCTAGAGCTCGGCTCATAGTCATACTAATTTGTGCTAGAGCTCGGCTCATAGTCACCCTACGTTTGCTAGAGCTCGGCTCATAGTCATACTACCACGTGCTAGAGCTCGGCTCATAGTCACGTCACTAATCCCTAAACCACTTCTTAGTCTAGGTTCCATCCATTTCGAGTAACCCTTAAGGCTTACTCCAAAAGTAACTTGAGTTCACAAAGTCCACCTTAAACATATCTTTTAAGGTTACTCAACTCCAAAGTCTTGGGATTGGCTCCCAAAAACTATTGAACTAACATTCCCGACTAGTATCCTATACTAGTCATTTAATCTTAATAACCCAATGCATATTCATAATAATTTGAATATTTCAATTTAATTCCACATTCAAGTATAACTTGGCTTTAATATCAAAATATCACTTTTATCCTTCCATGGCTTCCTTACATGAGGTAAAAGTATATTTATCACAATTTAATTTATAGTTTACACAACTACTATACCATTGTATTCATAACACATAATCATACACAATTTATTCATAAATTTGTATATCATGCATTTTATTTGCTTATAAACAATAATAATCTCATTTAGGCATTTTTTATTAAAAATAAATCATGCCAAACACATATAATTCATTTAGGTAATCTTATGAAATTAACCCAATAATTATAAGCAATATAGTCGGTCATCCTCACCTTAAGTGAGCTTAAGCGTGTTCTACGCTCCGCGGTTGAACTTTGACTAATTCCGGTGAACTTTGACCAACTCCGGCCAACTTTGACCAACTCCGGCGAAACTCCGGCGAAGCTCAAAGATACTTTATATCAAGTTCCTAACAAGGTTTTAACATCATAAAACCTTAATCAATACCCATAACCCTTAAAAGGTCATTTTCCGGGGAACTTGTCGGTTTGGCTTCTAAATCCGTTCTTGGACTTAGAACCACTCTCCCACCCATTATTCTACACTTAAATCATGTAGAACAACTCTCAAGGTTCTTCATATGATATATATCTCATATGATAGAGGAAAAATAAAGGAAAGTTTTGATAAGGTTATTACCTTAATCCTTTCACACTTTTAGCACTTTAGCTCCTTTTCTTGGTATTCTTTCTTGTAAAGCTCTCTTCAACAATGGAGGAGAATGATGGAGGATTCTTTGCTCTTGCTTGGAGGGTGCTGGCCGCAGGAAGTGAGGGAGAGAGTGGGTGAGGGTTGGTTTTTGTCTCTTTGATCCAATGAGTAAGGATGGGGGCCATCTAATGTACCTTTGATGCCCATCTATTCAACCCCAACACCTCCCACCTCCTCCTTTCCAATCCAGCCGCCCACCACTTGGTTTTGTATGGCCAAATTCGTGGGTTGGCCCCCACTCATGTGGGAGGTCAACCCTTTTTGTCCAGAAGTGTACAATTGGCCCCGAAAGTTGTATTTTTCGGACTGTTTTAAATATATTTTATTTTATCGGGTCAAATAAAATATATTATGTGTTCTTAATCATTATAACCTTTATAATGAATATACATTCCCAAACTTTAATTTATAAGTCCCCGAAATTCAATTTCGGGCTTTTATCGGTTAAATTGTCAATACCGATATTTGGGCTTCTTATGACCGATCGGTCAACTCTGGACCTTTCCATGGTCCGAATGAAATAGCCACCACTATATAAATATTATCTTGACCAAGATAAATAAAATATATGGTTTCGGGGATTTCGGGCGGCCCCGCTCCCGGTGTGGGTCCCACGTGCGAATTTATTATTCACGCAAAAGAAGTATTAAAAATTCACCACTTCGTATTTTCATTAACCATTCCATGAGGTTCAATACATTATACTCTTAAAAGTAAATACATTTGGGGACGGTGTTACAATTAGCCTCCCTCACTTCTTCTCTCTCCAGTCTCTCCATTTCACCCCCGTCAAGAATTTTTTCAGAACACTCTTTATTTTTTACACACTCAGCTAACTCTTCTCCCTCATGATTGTTTTCAATTTCCTCCACAGCGTAAACTTTTTCCATGGGATCATTTTGAAAAAATCCCATGAAGTCTCTCACACATTCATCAACTATATCAACCCTCCAACAATCTTCCACACATGCAGGATTTCTTCCCATTTGGAAAATATTGAACTCAACCCTTTCATCCCCCACTTCAATTATTAACGTACCCTTTTTAACATCAATGATGGCACCAGCAGTGGCCAAAAAAGGCCTTCCCAATATGACAGGTACTCGCTCATCTTCATCCATGTCTAGGACAACGAAGTCACACGGAATAAAATATTTTGTTAGTACCCAACGTTGATAGATTTTGATGATGCCACTATACCAATAAATGAACACCTCCACCACCCAATAAATCATGACTAATAAAATGTATCAAATAAAGTATACTGGAAACTTAAAATACAATAAGGTAATTTTTCTTACCTTAAAAAGGATATTCAAATCCTACCAGTATAACTTTATTTAAAAAGAAGTGGGAAGTGTTGAACAAATGCTCCAAATAAATTTTTACTGGAAAATAAGAAATTCACTAGGGTAATTGTTTTTACCCTAAGAATATACAAAAGATCCTTCCAGTACATAATTTACTTGGTGCACAGTGACATGCAGGGATAAGCCGTATAACAAAGGCGTAAGGCTAAAATGCATTTAATGCAAGAATTGTACATGGGTCCCAGAAGATGATGATGCTACACAAGAAGTGATCTCTCGGAGAAGAATTGATCGGCAAAGATTATCTTGCACAGTTATTTTCAAGAATTCATTTGAATGCCTTCCCGATTGAAGTTTTAGCTGAAATTTGGTATGAGTAAACTAGACTTGATGAATAAGATGCTCAAAAAATTTCATCAAAAAATTCCACCGGGAACCACCCCAAATGGCGATGACCGGACAGAGCCTCCTAAATAAGGGCTTATTTGACCTTTTTTTTGGTTAGTACATGGGCCTATTTGCAACTTTTCCAAAAAAAAAATAATAATAAGCTTGTTAGGTTGAAAACCCAAAAGGGAAACTTAAGCAAAACAAAAGCAAAAAGAAGAGTGAGTTGGTGAGAATAAAAAGGAAAATGTGGGAAGCTGGGATGAAAACCCGGAAGGGCACCTAGGCAAAATGAGAGAATGAGATAAAGCATTTTCTTTTATCTTTGCAGGATCCTAAGGGCATATACATGAGGAAGCAAAAGAAGAGAAATCCAATGGTGTTGAAGACCTTTTAATTATGTGTTTTGATCATTGAAACATTTTTTTATCTTGACTTTCAAAAACACTTGTGAATGGTTGTGATTGCTACTATTGTTGGTTTGGAAACTTCATGGACATGATTTGTTTTACTTGAGACGAGTAAAAGTTCAAGTGCGGGGGTGTTTGATAGGCACTACTTATTAGTGCCTAAGTGTACATTTTTATTATCATTTGTAATATTTATTTACTAGTATTATGCAAGTTTGTAATTGTTAGTTTGCATTTGATTGTAATCGTATTTTTAGCATTTTATTGTTTGTTGTAAGTTGTAGTTAGTTGAGCTATAAGTTTAGGATAGGTTTGGGAGCAAGAAGGATGGAAAAACCTGAGTTTTATGTGAAACCCGGTCGGGTATGAACTTTACCCGGCCGGGTATGAAGTGACAAAGGAAACTGCTGCAAAACTAGCAAATACCCGGTCAGGTATTCCATATACCCGGTCGGGTATGAAGTGATTTCGGACCAAAGAACGTGCAGAAGACACAAAAACATGGGAAAATATTTGATTTGGTAAATACCCGGTCGGGTATGTCAAAATACCCGGCCGGGTATGTCAAAATACCCGGCCGGGTATCCGGCATTAGGTGTTGAAAACACCTATAAATAATCCCATTTTCCTTCACTTTTAATCATCCCTTCTTCCATACTCTTGAGCTCTGTTTAGAATAGTATTTCTTTTATATTTTTATAGCATGTTTAGTCTCCAAATTAGAAGCTAAACTCTTCCATCTTGGTTTTGCTACTTTGAAGCTTAATGAATTTGTAAGTTGTGAGTTATTCTCTTTAATCTTCTTCCTTGAATATTAATTCTTCCTTTAAATACTATTTCTATATCAATGGTGGAGAGTGTTACTAAGATGACAATTAGTTAACATCTTGACATTAGTTATAGTAATAGCTATTTCTTCCTCTATGTTAATATTGAGGAGTGTTACTAAGATGACAATTAGTTAACATCTTGATATTAACTACAGTAGGATTCATCTTCTTTAATATTCTTCCTTGAGTATTAATTAATTCCTATTCATATTTCATATTAATATTTTGAACATTACTTAAAGGATCAACTAGTTTTGTTTCATATATTAATTATTACTAGAATCAATCGGTTAATACGCTTGTTATTAATTCGGTTCTTTCAATGGTAGTAAACTTGGATTGTTAATGCATGCTTCTCATGGTTAATAAGCCAAGGGAAATTAATTATATTGATTAAACCAATAAACCGCTTGTGTTGAGGTTATCAATCTCAATCGTTTTCATCTTAAGTTTATTGCTATTATCAAGTTAATATACGGCGCTTGTTCTATATTGACTCGATAGTAAGTTTTATTAATGAACGCATCTCGTTATTAATAACTACCCTCGATGAACTGGATATACTCCTCAATTGAGTATTCGAGAGGAAGATAGTTAAAGATATAACCGGGATCGACAAACATTTCATTAAGTGGATAAAAGCAAAGCCAAGTCTTCTTCTCATTAATTAAACCACATACCTCGTTCATCTTCGTGTTTAATTTATTAAACCAAATCAAACTAAAACCCCCCCATTTTGTTACTAGTTTTATAAAAAGAAAAGTATTCCTTTCCCTGTGGATACGAACCTTACTACGCTATACTACGTATAAGTGTTGTATTGTATTATTATTTTGAGTGCACATTACGACAAAGTGCACGTCAAATTTGGCACCGTTGCCGGGGAAAGGCAATTATTTTTCTGTTTATTTTATTTCAAGAAAAATAAAAAAAATAATTAAATAAAAATATAAAGAGTTCTTATTTTCTATTTTTGAGCTTTGTTTGAGTATATGGTTAAACACCGATCTATAAACCAAATCACCTACCAAACAAATCCCGAAACAGAACAAGCCTTCGAGAGGTTTAGGAATTTATTTCCGAATACTTCTTCGGAGGAATCATCAAGTGCTAACTCCAACTCTAGCGAATCTGAAGAGCCAATCACTATGGCTCAAGAGACAAGAACATTGAGGGAGCTCACAGCTCCGAACTTGAATCAACAACCATTGTGTATTACCTTCCCTACTCTTGATGAGGGTAATACGTGTGAGCTAAAATATGGGCTCATTCATTTGCTACCATCCTTCCATGGCCTAAGAGGGGAGGATCCGAACAAACACCTCTCAGAGTTTCACATCGTTTGCACAAGCATGTGTCAAAACGGTGTGACTGAAGTACAAATCAAACTAAGGGCCTTTCCATTCTCTTTGAAGGACACCGCGAAGGATTGACTTTTCTATCTTCCTTCTGGGAGTATCAACACATGGGCACAAATGAAGAAATGCTTCCTTGATAGGTATTATCCTGCTTCTATCTCGTCTTCTCTCAAAAAGCAAATAAGCAACATCGAACAAAAGGATGATGAGTCTTTGTATGAATTTTGGGAACGATTTAAGAAGCTATGTGCCATCTGTCCCTATCATGGATACTCGAAACAAGACCTCATTTTATATTTTTATGATGGTCTTTGTGATGATGATAGAAGAATGGTGAACGCCGCCTGTGGAGGCGGCATTGTCAATAAAACACCTTCACAAGCCATAAACCTTATCTCGGAGTTGGCCGAGAACTCACGGCAATTCGGTCGCAAATCCTCAACTCGTAGAGTGGCCGCTGCAGAATCGACATCATCATTGGAGAGTCAAGTTTCCGGTTTGACTTCTTTAGTTAAGGATTTCCTCTTAAAATCCAAGACCCAAGAAGTTAAGGTCTGCGGCATTTGTACACACCAAGGGCACCCCACGGACTCATGCCCAACTCTTCAAGAAGACAATCTAGAGCAAGTCAACGCCTTGGGTTTCCAAGGACATCAACAAAGGAGGTACGACCCATTCTCAAACTCTTATAACCAAGTATTGAGGGATCATCCAAACTTGAGGTATGGAAACCCCCAACAATCCAACCCATCTTCTCAACCATCTTTTAACAATCAAGGCTCAAACTCTCAACCTAATATGTCAACTGATGAAATGATACGAGCTTTGACTTCAAACATGGTTACCATGCAACAAAGCATGGGTCAATTTCAACAAACCATGATACAATTCCAACATGAGACAAAGTCAAGCATTAAAAATTTGGAAACTCAAGTTAGCCAAATTTCAAATGCCGTAAGCCGACTTGAAGCAAAGGACTCGGGTAAACTCCCATCTCAAACGGAGCAAAACCCGAGACAACATGTAAATGCAATCATGTTGCGAAGTGAGACGACATTGAAAGAATTGGAGAAGAAAGACCAAAATTTTGAGGAGGTTGACCCTGAAGAGGAAGCTAACTGGGAGGATGGAATCACGAAGGCAAAACTGCCTCCACATTCATCATATGAACTAGTGGCCCCATTTCCCGAGGCATTGAGGGAAACAAGGAAGCTTGACAAAGATGCTGACATCTATGAAACTTTCTCCAAGTGTGAGGTAAACCTTCCAATCCTTAACTCAATTAAAAGTATTCCCCGTTTTGCTAAATTTTTAAAAGAATTATGCAAAACAAAAACAAAAAATAAAGTGAAGAGAAAACAAGAAGTTAAGGTGAGTGAACATGTTTCGGCCCTTTTTCAAAAGAGACTCCCCGAAAAATGTAGCGACCCGGGCATGTTCACTATTCCTTGCAAAATAGGGGACACCGTATTTTCTAAAGCCTTGTTGGATTTGGGAGCATCAATAAATGTCATTCCTCATTCCTTGTATAAATCCTTACAACTCGGCCCACTACATCAAACTGGTACAAGTATATCATTATTCTAAGAATGTATCAAGTGAATTTTCTTATCCCTTCAGATTCGATGAGTAGTCAATTCTGATACAAGTAGTTCAATTCTTAGATTGTTTTCCGTCATAGACCAGATCAAACTTAAGCAGGTCAGACCACACTTAAATAGATCAGATCAGACCAGGCCTGACTTCCATAGTTTTAAAGTACACACGGATCAACATTTACCATACCAGAGTCCTAGACCAGAGTCCTAGACCAGATCACTCCAAACTACCGAATTACAGTCCAAGTAAAAACATCATAAGTCCACGAGTATGATGAAATAGCTACTCCATATGATTTAGTAACATTGTGATTTTAGTTAAGTCAAGTGATTGATTTTTATCCATTGTTCTTTTTCACTTAATTTGTTGTATTAACTTCTCTCCAATTTTAACATGATTGATTAACTTTTTTGAGTGGACTTATCGGGTACACGCCATGCTTATTAATTCAAGCTCTTTTGGATAAAACAATAGTTACTTCAAATGTCTTGTATTATTAGGTTATCTATTTGGTTCTTATTAATGAATTTTAACTATTTAATTGTTTTTTAAAGTGAACCGAGAATTCCATTAAGATTCAAATCATTTTTCAATGCATTCATAAAGAACTTCGCAAACACATATTCAAGGGACAACCAAACTCCAAATTAAAGCAATTCGAGCAAACAATGACATAAACCTCAAACTCGTCAAAGTACACTAGAGCAAATATGACAGACACATAGCACCCTCTAAACTAACAGACCAAACAGAAAGTTTCAACAATAATCAGCTGTCGGATAAGAGTAGCTTAACTCCTCCAGCTTCCTTCGTCACCTCCTCCCCCGGAGTAACCGCCGCCGCCATAGCCTCTGCCATATCCTCCACCACCGCTGCCATAGCTTCGTTCACGTCCACCTCTGTAACCTCTGCCACCGCCTCCGTAGCCACCCTCACGACGACCGCCTCCGTAACTTCCACCTCTGCCACTTTTACGACGTCCACCACTGTAGCCTCTTCCTCCTCCGCCTCCACCGCGAGATTGAGCCTCGTTGACTGTGATGTTTCGGCCATCAAGGTCACTACCGTTCATGTCTTGAATAGCCTGCTTCATTGAATCCTCATCCTTAAAGGAGACGAAGCCAAATCCTCTGGATTTGCCTGTTTTGGGATCTTTAATAATCTTTGAATCCAGGACATTGTAGGTAGAGAACGCTTGACTGAGGGAGTCTTCGTTTGTGGCCCATGCCAAACCACCGACAAAGCATCGGTACTCAACATCTGACAAATTTCTTGATCTGATAATTAACAATAATGAGAGAAAAGATGAAAGTGGTGAATGAGGCAGAAAAGGCGAATAATACCTTATTGATTAATAGTTAAACTACACGACTGATTTTGGACGCCATACGGGATCGATAGTCATATTTCTCTCTAGGACGAATCCTCTATTTTAATTGACTAACTAAATCACAATTACTAAAAACTATTGATAAAAACAAAAACTTGAATTATATCTTTTCTCTTGCTAAGTTCTCAATCAATTTCCCATTAGTTATTTTTTCAATTTATTTTGATGACTTATAAATTGTCTATCACAATGTTTTGAATTCAACATCAGCTAGATGAAATAAGCAATCTTATTACACCCGCAAAAGTTCTCCCACACCCAACCCTCAAAAGGACAAGGATTACCACTCTTCTCATAATCAAACTCAGAATCACGCACGGCCTACGCATCGGGGACGCTTGACGTCACTTACCCGCCAATGGGGTCTATTGCGGAAGTGAACTCCATCCGAGGCAGTTCGTAAGTTAAATGGGAATGGCACGCGTCGCCACGTTTTGTTTCTCACACTGGCAAAAACAGAATGCCTACCGCCATACCCATAATCAGGGCTAAAATGGCGAAATAAAGCGACGACTTTGTAGTCTTCCCGGGAGGCATCATAACACATCCCGGCAAGAACATACAAGTCTCTGTCCTTGAGATGTTCATGATGAAGCACAACCCCACGCCACCCGGTAAGTGGGTTCCACAACCAGAAATTTGCTGCAGCTCTGAGAAGCACAAGCCCATTGCAAGAGCACAAAATGTGTGGCCAATAGTATAGGTAACGGTCGGGGAAGAGCCGGGGCTCCCTGAGAGAGGATGTCCATTGAATTGAAGGCGAAGGTCGTGGTTTATCGACCTCACCGTTAATCTGGGGCAGCTTGGGTACACGACGAGGAGGCGGAGTTTGCCGACGTGGGTGCGCTTGATGTGGTTGATGAAGGAGCGCCATTCTTGACTCACAAACTCGGACCTGAGCAGAGACTTGGGCGGCAACCTTTGGAATATATCGCGGCTGATCTCTAAGGGCAGGATGCGCAATGGGTCTGTTGATGGGTTCATGTTTTATTTCTCTGTGTAATATTGTAATTAAAAATAAGTAGAAGAAGATTAGAACGGGTCAAGGGCGGCTAAGTCAGGTATAGTACTTGTACTTAAGGATTAGAACGGGTCAAGGGCGACTAACCACATGTCCATACCCGGCCATAAGAGCGGGCCAGGCAGTCCACCAGGCCTCCGGGCCCGGAAAAACTTCAAAATTTGCAAAAGTATATTATTTTTTTATCATCAAACATGCTTCTATTCATATCAAAAGATTCAGGATCATTACAACAAGCAAAGGAAAAATAAAACTGACACCAACTGAAACTCTAACAACTACGACTGTAACCCTATGGTTACCCCTGAGAGAGCAACACGAATCGCTAACCATGTAGTGGGCTTGACACAGCCAAACCTATTCTCATAGATCCAATCATACCCAATGACATAAAGAGAGACTAAAAACTCAAACAAATTGTCAAAACCAACAACAAAGAAGAACACTAGAAAACAAATGGCAAACATATAAAAATTACCATGGACTCTAGCACCTCGTACAACCCATGGTGACGGTTCAGGCAGAGGTCGGACCGTCGCTCGATTGATACCCTCTTTCAGTGGCGTACCCGCTGTATTATTTTTTAATACTTTAAAACTAATATTACAACATTTCAAAAATTGTTATACGCGTGTAATGTTTATAGGCCTTTCACCACATACAAAAGTAATACTTACACAAAAATAATAATGAAAAACTATATCTAAAATTTAAAATTCAAGCACAAAGTATTATCTTTAAATACAAAAATACATACTATATTGGTTGGGCTAGTGGTTAAGAACTAAAAGTTAAATTTAAACATAATAAACTATAAATATGTATAAAGATAAATTATATTAGTAAATATAAATGTACATGTAAATAGATAAATAAATTAGTGTATATATATATATATATATATAGAGAGAGAGAGAGAGAGAGAGAGAGAGAGTACTCTTCCGGTCAGGAATTCCTGACCGGAACCGCTGTCCGGACGGCGGCGTTTGGCCGCCTTCCGGGTGGAATTTTTCAATGAATTTTTTATGACATGTTCTTCATCAAGTCTAGTTTATCCACAAAACAATTCAGCCAAAAACTCATTCGGGAAGGTCGTCAAATGATTTTCGCAAGTTAACTGGTCCGGAAAATATATATTCCGGACGAGTTAACTTGCAAAAATCATTTCACGACCTTCCTGATTGAGCTTTTGGCTGAATTTTTTTGTGGATAAACTAGACTTGATGGAGAACATGCCATAAAATTTCATCAAAAAATATCACCGGGAAGGCGGCCAAACGCCACCGTCCGGACGGCGGTTCTTGTCCGGAATTCCGGACATGAATAAAATTCTCTCTCTCTCTCTCTCTCTCTCTCTCTCTATATATATATATATATATATATATATATATATATATATATATATATATAAAGTGTAGCGGGCCGGGCTTATCGGCCCGAACGGGCCTACACCCTAACCCAAGCCCACCCATATGTTATTGCAGGCCGGGCTCGGCCCGGCCCGGTGGGTAAATATGTATGTCCAAGCCCGCCCATTTGTGCGGGCCGGTTGGGCGGGCCGGGCGACCCGGCCTGGCCCGGTTTTGTGCAGGTCTAATTTATGTCAATACACTTTGTGCTCAGGAGACTGTACATTGTTATTAAAAAGTGGAACCTTATTCATTCATTTGGCTTTTTTATAATCTAATCTAACAACAATATAATATTAAATGGAGGTTGGTACCCTTGACTTATATCATTACACTTTGTGCTTAAGAGACTATACATTGTTATTAAACAATGGAACCTTATTCTTTCATTTGCCTTTTTTCTAATCTAATCCAACAACAATATAATAGTAAATGGAGATTGCGGCCCTTGATTTATGTCAATACACTTTGTGCTTAAGAGACTGTACATTGTTATTAAAAAGTGGAACCTTATTCTTTCATTTGGCTTTTTTTATCCTTACTATATGCTAGTATTTTTACCCGTGCCGTGCATGGGGTAAAAGATGTTATTTAGTACTCCCTCCGTATTTAAAGTTCCCTACCTTTCCTTTTTGGGATGTATTTAAAAGTTCCCTACACTTCCATTTTTGGTAAGTTTATCCTTTATAAATTACTCAACTACCCTTATTATTCTATTCAAAAATATTGTGTCAAAAAATAGTACTCTTTTTTTATGTGTTTCATTAAGTTTGTCGTATACAATATTGAATAATATTGTCTAACTATGATATGACAATATCTAGGGTGTTTTTAATTGATATTTTTTCTCGCTCCCAGATCAGACCAAATTTATCTTCATTTATAATTCTACATTGAATTATACATTTGAATATGTAACATTTTTAATTCTCGCAAACATATTCTCTGCATTTTTTATTTGTTTGACTAATTTCAAAGGCGGAGAGCCCCGCCTTTTAAAACTCCATCGACACCATATTGATTCTTTACTACTATCATATGTGTTACATGACTAGATTTATAATGTAAATGATATTTAGAATATTTTTAATTGAACTAATTTTGGTCCAGATAGATTCAAATAAATTAGATCAGATCAGACGACTAGACTAGACTAGATTTAAATAATACGGAGTACTATGTAGTACATTTTTACATATATGATATTGGTGTTACAAAAACATTATTAAAAAAATATTTAATTTGATATAATTTTTATAAAAATAGGAGCAAAAATAGGGGAAATTTTTTAATTTGAAATATTTTGATAATAATGAAAAAAATGAAAAAGTTATCACTTTATTAAAAAAAATGAAAATATTATCACTATTCGATTGAGAACCAACTCCCTTATCTTTATTATCATACTATTGCAAATTGCAAAGTACTATCTACATGTGTCGTATAGCAAGCAGATGAATTACTATAACAGAACTAAACTAGGGACATTTTTGTCAGATAGGGGGTGCGCATAGCAATAATACCGGTGTGCCAAGCAACACCCTTCTTTCATTTGACTTTTTTATCCTTATACGCCGTATGAGATTTAACATCCGTTAAAGGGTATACCCGCATCACCTCCTAAATCCTAATCACGCTTGTACCACACCTTAGTCCTTGTTCTGAACAGTAGTCTCTCTAGTTTCTTTTCTGTTCAGAGTTGTTGGCACATATCCTTGGTTACCCGGGATTTATTTTCGTCGCATAGTCGTTTAAGCTATTCACTCTCTACTAATTATATTTGGTTTCTGGTCATACGATCCATTCACTTTGTGTTGTTCTACTTTGTTCTTTGTTTTCAGATTGCGTTGTTAACTTGTTTTCGGTCTGCGTTGTCTTTAAGATGTCACAAATATACTTAAGAAAAAATGACACCAGTATTACTTCTCAACTTGTGTTGGACACAGATATGACCACAATTAAAAAGGTCAAAAATGTGACCCCCTGCTCTTCCTATTTGCTACGCTCACCTTCGGTTCTAAACCTCCACTTCCCCAATTTACCTTACATCCTCCATCTTATCTCTTGGGAGCCTTCATGTTATCTCTTCCGCCTTTCGCCTTCATCGCGCAATCTCCACTTCCGGTGCTATCTACCTTCTCCGATGGCAGGACGTTAAACCTCCGCCCTCAGCTTCGTCGACGGAAACAACATCGATATCTTCTCCATTGTCCTTCTGGTCGCCCCTCCCATGGACGACAACTCAGATTTGAGGGCGGAAATTTAGGATCTGATTCTGAGCGACGAATCTGATTTGAAAACAGATTGCTTGAAGCTACGTGGTCTGGACCTCTACATAGACCTTCTCCTCTTCCTGCTTTCCAGATCTGCAGCAGCGGGAGGAGTGGTGGGGGCAGCGGTGGTCCGGAATTTGGGTGAAATGGAAGAGGAGATGAGACTAGGGTGATAGAGATGGGG